ATTAATCGTGATAATCATTTTACTACTTTATTGAATAAATGCTTGGAGAAAAGTTATACACAAGTATCTATAGGGCAAAAGTAATAACAGCAGGTATATATAGCAAGGCATTTAGGCTTCCAGATTAAACCAAACCCTAGAACAGACCAAAATGTATCTAAACCCTTGTGGAATGTATTAATAATTATGAATACAATTAGTAATTATAAATAAATAGGTAGAGTGGTAGAATTTTAGAACTGGAAAGAGCTCTAGAGTCAAATCACTATTTGAGATGAAAAGTCTAAACCACAGAGGTTTAAATTGTTTAACTATTTTAATAAAACTAATGGCCTAAATGAGACTGTAAAATTAGGAGACAGAGAAGCAAAAATAATTACTGTTAAAAATCTCTTTCAGGTAATGGGGAAAATAAAATAAAAAGTAATTTTTTTTCTTTTTTAACATCAGTATGTGGTTGCCTCTCACATGTCCCATACTGGGGACCTGGCCAGCAGCCAGGGCCTGTGCTCTGACTGGGAATCGAACCAGTGGCTCTTTGGTTCTCAGGCTAGCACTCAATCCACTGAGCTACACCAGCCAGTGCAAAATAAAAATTAAATTAAAAAAATGTCCTTCATATATGTTTTTTTAATTTTTAAATTCCTTATGTATTGGTTTCGGGAATACAGCTTAGTGGTTAGATAACATGTACTTTACATAGTGTTCCCCTTGATATTTCCAGTATCCCACCTGGCACCATGCATATTTATGACCATGTCATTGACTATATTTCCTAAGCTTTACTTCCCTGTGACTACTTTGTAACCACCAATTTGTGCTTCTTACTTCCTTCACCTTGGTTACCCAGTGCCCCAACCCTACCCTCCTTTCTGACAATCACCAGTTCTCTATCTGTATCTATGAGTCTGTTCTAATTTTGTTTGTTTATTTTTTTCCTTGCATATTTTATTTTTGTTTAAGTGATGTATTATTGTAACACAGGAGGTCAAGCCCAGGCATCTTGATTGCTCATTCAGATAAGCCGAGAAAACCACAGGAGGACTGGATGGAGCAGATGCAGCCTTTATTTATTTATTTATTTATTTATTTATTTATTTATTTATTTATTTATTAGGTTGTCCCCATTTTCCCCCAATACTCTCCCCTGCCCTAGCAACCCCACCACCTCCCACATTCAATCCTTCCCCCCTTGTTTTTTTTTCCATGGGTCCTTTATACATGTTCCTTGAGGCAGACAGAGCCTTTATGACTCACATTACAGGGAGTACCCAAGGTGGAAGGTCAGCAAAGCAGGACCACACCTCCCTGAGTCCAAGACTTGTTTTAAGGGATCCTAGACAAAGGGGACAAGGGGACAGGCACATGTCTCGTGTGTGAACCTGAACTACTTTATCTCAGTGTGTATGTGCAAAGAGAAAATGTCAAAAAACAGTCACTCGAGACTAGAAGCCACTCCCAAAAGGAGATAAGGAGGGAATTACAGTCCATTTCCAAAGCCATACACATCCCTTCTGGCCAAGGGCCCTTCTGCCAGCCTTCTCTTATGGGGGTTGGAGGAGCCCTGTCCAGCAGACCCCACAATTACATTAATTGATTTGTAAATATTGTACCAACCTTTCATCCCTGAAATAAATCCCACTTGATTATGGTTTATGATCTTAGAATTTGACAATAACTGCTAGAATTGCCAATAAGGAGAATTAAAATGGCTCTTCAAGATATTTTATTTGTTCTGTTTTTGTTAGTACAGTAGCCGAATGTGGACCACTGATTAATTTTCCCTATTGAGTCAACTGCATCTTCTTTATGGGCAAAATCTTTATCTGACACTGGCAGATAAAGCCCATAATAGAAGATTGCATAACTCAGGGTCTTATTATTTCTTACACTAGTCATTGTAATGCTCCCATTTTATCTGTGAGAAAGCTGAGGATAAGGGTGGAGGTATGTCTAGAACTTCTGAAAATTAAGCAACATTGTTGTCCCTCCACACCCTGTTGTCCTTAACTCTTATGCGCGGTTAGCATCTAAGCGAATTAGAAGTAAATTTTTTACTGTAATTGATTTATGTAGTACATTCTTTAGTATTTCAGTTAATGAAGCTAACCAATACCTTTTTGCCTTCACTTGGGAAGGAAAACAATTTACCTGGCAGTAATGGCTTAGGCTTTTATTGAAAGCCCTTCTTATTTCTGACAAATTTTAAAGACTTACTTGGATGGTATAACTTTCCCTACAGGTTCTACCTTGTGAGATGTGACCAATTTATTTCTTTGCCTTTCTTCTCAGGTCTCCTCAGTGGAAGACAGCATTCACCCATTAGAAACATATGGACTTAAAGGGACATAAAGTCCATAAAAAAATTTTTAGTTTGTCCAAACTCAGGTCTAATATCTGAGACATCTAATATTCGAACAAGAACTATATACCTGGATCCAAAGAGGCTTTGTGGTGTTTTGAGTTTCCTGTTCTTCTTGGGTTGGTTGGCTATTGGCAAAATTGGATTCCAAAACCTTACATGTTTTACTAAAGAATGACAGCCCTGACCCAATCTTATGTGTAGGATGGGATGAAATAGCTTTTAGAGTCTTAAAGGAGAACTCAATAAACTCACCTACTCATATGCATCTTAATTATCAGATTCCCTTTTTCCTTTTTGTAAATGAAAAGGAAGGGAATGCCTTTTGGGTACTCACCCAAAAACACGGGGATCACCATAGAACCCTAAGATATTAGGGTCAGCAGTTTGACCCTGCTTTACCCTCCTTGCTTTAAAGACCTCAGTGCTACTGCCCACTTGGTTAAGGCTACAGAGAAAAAATATATTAAGTAACTTATGCAAAGACTAAAATCATTGTGAAAGTTTTTTCATGCATTTAAAGCATAATGTAAATACATTTTTCTATGTAATAGAAAACTATTTTCAGTGCTTTACAGTGTTCACACATTTATCCTCTCCACAAGTCCATGAGGTAGTTAATACCAGAGTTTATCTGCATTTCACTGATGGGGAAGCTGAGACATGGGGTTTTCCCACATTATACTGGCTCAAAAATAGTTTTACAAGATTAATTTTTTTGGCAAATTAACTGGAAAAATAATTTAATGACTTGATTTTTGTTTTCCAAAACATCAGTGGCTTTTGTCATCTTTTGTGTTATTGACTATGCTACTTTTGTGAATTTTCTATTCATATTCATCATCTATTTTCACAGGTGCAGTTTGGATTGCTTGATTTTTTGTGTGTTGGTGTTGCTGGAGATTTGTAGTAGTCCTCACCATACAATGAATACCAATACTTTTTTGTTACCTGTGTTGCATGATTTAATATTATCTACTATGGTACTATAGTAGTTTCATTTTTTAAAATGTGTCAATTATCTAGAGGAGTTGCAAAGAAAACTATGTGGTAAGTTTTTAAAAAAAATATGATTTCCTCACATCAAAGTTTTAATGTTTTCAAAATAAATTTCATGCCTTAGGCTAGAGAATGTTTGTTGTAAGACTTTGATGTGGGTTTTCTTGATCAATAAAGATAAATGATTTTCCTATCTTGGACCAATTTGTTCATAAATTATTGTCCTGATGTACAGGGTTCAGGAATGTCTTCAGATTCTTTTAGTTTGATTTACCAATTTTTGGTATTTATGTAACTTTTGTATTCTTCTCAATGTTACTGATTATGTCAGTCATAGTGCGCCTAGGTTTAATGAAAATGATAAATACATTATTTTTTGGTAATGACAAAGAATTGAATGTTTGCATATAAGAGCTATAGGAAGAATGGGGCAACAGTGTCCTGAGGGAAGACACAAAAGAATGAGACAGATGTGCTGATCTAGCATGGTTATACAGAATAATCTCATTTCAAGTTGTATTCAACAAACATTGAACTTCACACCATATGTCAGTAGATAAGTGATGCCTCTTATTCTGAATGATATATGTATTATATATTTTTATATACTTATTATATACTTATATATTTAAACATATATATTTAGAGAAAATAAAAATTCAGTAAGTCCCTTGAAAAGTACCAATTCTATATTATCTTAATTTATAACTGATACTTTACATCCATTATTAAAGGCTGATATGAGAGTGAGAGTAACCAGGTGAATATTTTGAAGGCCACAAGGAACAGTTTAATTTAGTTTGTGAAATCAAAGATTTTCATAAATAGCTCAATTTTGTAATAGGAAGCAGGTAGCAGTTTCATTTTCTTCTTAAAAATATATTTTATATTTTTATTTTAGAGAGAGGGAAAGGGAGGGAGAGGGAGAGAAACATCAATGTGTGGTTGCCTCTCACGTACCCCTTGCTGGGGACCTGGCCTGCAACCCAGACATGTGCCCTGACTGGGAATCAAACTGTGACCTTTCGGTTTACAGGCCCACGCTTATTCCACTGAGCCAAACCAGCCAGGGCTGTTATTTTTCTAATTCAACAAATTGGGAAATAAATTATACTATACTATACTAATAAATTATACTTTTTTGCCTTTATGAGTAGAATTCTTAATGTTTTTGTGTCCATGTACAATATGTGAAACACTGTTAAAAACCTTTTTTGTTTCTGTTTTGTTCATTGAAGCAGTAAAGTTCAATATAAACCCACATAGTTTGTTATTTTTTAAAAGTTTTCAAGGTTTTTTTAAAAAGATTTTATTTATTTATTAATTGAGAGATGGAAAGGGAGGGAGAAAGAGAGGGAGAGAAACATCAATGTGTGGTTGCCTCTCACCAGGCCCCCAATGGAGACCTGGCCTGCAACCCAGGCATGTGCCCTGACTGAGAATCGAACTGGTGACCCTTTGGTTCACAGCCCGAGCTCAGTTGACTGAACTACACCAGTCAGGGCCAGTTTGTTACTTTTTACTTTTCCAAGTTGTTTTTCTCTTTGAAATGAAATATTTTTAGCTCAAACAGGTAGTAAATCCCTTGAAAACAAATTTTGATCTAAATCATGGGAAAACAGATTCTGAAATGAGAAGCTAATTTGTGAAAAGTCATTTTGTCTCAGGAGAAGAAACAACTTCTTACTGGAATAATAAACTGGGGGTGTCCCATCTATAAGATATGTCAGCTTCAGGCTTCGGAAACACTACTCCCTTTTCCCCTTCTTTTCTGTTTTGGCAAACTTCCGGCAACAAAACAGAACACATTTTATGATGGCAAGTATAGCAGTTGCCACACAGGCCAGCAGGAACCCAATCACGTCCAAAGAGTGGTACTGGAACCAGTTGAGGTCATAGGAGGCTGGCCGCAGGTGTTTGGCTCCCTTGTGGCGCATGACAAACTCGATCCAGAAGACTGCTCGATCCAGGGGCTTTATAGGTTGATCGTGGTGAATCCTTGACAATTTCATAGCATTCTCCTTATATCTGAGGGAGAAACACAAAGATACCAACATTGAAAGGAATTAATTTACCTAAACAATTCAAACCCTTCAAAGGTTTTTGTCAAACAAATTTTTAAAAATATATACCTTAGAATTACAGAAGTAGTAGTATATTTTTATTTGGGTCTCAAAGAAAGTTTGACTTCTAAATTAGAATTTTCTGACTGCAAAATATTTTAGACAATGAAGATGGAAGAGAAAGTTGGAAAGTTAAATTTTTTTTGCAGAGGAAATGATAGGAACTATTCTATATGCTATGTAGGACAGTGGAAATGCATACTTAGGATAATGCTCTAGAAGTTTTTAAAGAGGAATTGTGTCCTGGTGGCAGAAATGCTTCCTCACCTGTCTCTGTGCTTCTACTCTTCTCAACTATTTTTAACCCTGTAGCCAAAATAAATTTTGTTGAAACCCTTCAGAATTAGACATTCACCCTGTTAAAAATTGCTATGTGGTTTCTCATCACATCCAGAATAAAATCCCCATCTATTCTTTGTCCTATAGGACCTTGCATGCACAGACCTCTGGCTACCTCTTCTATCATTTTGCCCTATGCACACTCTGTTGTAGTCACTCTGATATGACCATTCACGGAAACTGCCAAACGTGTTCTCATGTCAACACTTTGTACTTTGTGTCTCCTTTGTTCTCCTAGAGCAGTTTTTCCTGCGAAATCCCAAGGCTGCTTCTACTGCTGCTGGAGACCTAGGATCAGGTCACATCTCCAAGAGGTTTTTCTTGGCCACACTATGATACCATACCTAGGCAATTCTTTCATGTCTGCTTCTCCCTATTTAATTCCTAGATTTTTAAATATGTTTTGTAAAATATACCTTCAATTTATGTATGAAATACATAAGAAAATATATATATTCTGATAAGTTCAAAATTATCAAGAAAATTATCATGAAATGAACATACCAATATAACCATTCATTTTTCATAGAAGCACCCAATTCCTGGACCATTTTGCTACTTCCATCTCCAAATTACCTAGTCTCCTGACCTATAATTCCATAAATTAGTTTTTCTTATTTGTATATTAGAATCTTATAGTATATAGTCATTATTTTCTGTAGCAGTTGCTGGTTTATCCCTTTACTGTATAATATTTTATTATATGACAACACCACACATTATTTCTTCATTTAATGACAAATAGAAATTTAGATTAATAAATTTTCAGCCATTAATACTAATTCTGTTATAAACATTTTTGAATATGTCTTTTGGTTTATATATTTATGCATTTCTGTTGCACATAAACCTAGAAGTGGTTTTGATGAGAAGATGCGTATATGATTATGATTTCTTTGTTGATGCTGAAATATTTAGAAATATATTGCTTAATTTTCCAAATTTAGAGATTCTTTTAGTTATCTTTTTAAAAAATCATTTCTAATTTAATCTAGTTTGGCCAGACAATATACTCTTCGTTACCTAAAATTTTAAAAATACTGCATCTTGGTTTATGCTATAGCACACATGGTCAATTTCATTAATAAATTAATATGGTCTTGAAACAATGTGTTTTCCCATTGTTTTATATTTGGGGAAAACAGTAGTGAAAGGGTCCAGGAATAGGGTGCTTCTATGTAGTTTGTGGAATATATAACATGCATATAGAATATATATAATAATAAATATCTGTATATAGAACATGTATTTGTGTATTTACATATAAATATGTATTATCTACATATACAGATAATATTCTACAGAATACAGAATATTCTATATATACAGATAATATATATGTAATATATATAATCTATCTATATGTAAGTGTATTAGTAGGTAGTAGGTGTTACTAATGAACAATTTGCCTTGTTTTGAAAGATTAACCTATTTATTATTCTACAGTATTTATTTTTAGTAGTGCTTTTTATCTAATTGTATCTGATATTAGTAAAGCTATAACATCTTTCTATGGATACTGTTGAAATACATCTTTTTCTGTCTTTGTATGTACAATCTTGTATACTACTATTTAAGCATGTCTTTTATTTATTTATTTTACCCATATGACCTTTATTCAGCAGTGCTATTAATTTTCTATAATTCTTCAGAACTGTGTCAAAAATGTTGCCTTCAAAAACAAGCATCCTGCCCTCCTGGACTACTATGGCGTGAGGAGCACTAAACTCCAAGCATGAATTATTGCAAGATTAACTCAAATTGTAATTAATACCCAGGCCTGTGAACTATTCACATAGAAATGTTTTTGGTGGCTAAAAACATCCTTACCTTTTGCTTTGTTTAATTCTCTTGGCAAAACTAAACATTCAATTCAGTTATAAAAAGTAAATAGTGTTGGAATTGATTTGATTACAGAAATCTTCACCTTTCTAAAATAATTTTAACATTCAAATTGTTTTAGGGACAATTTAGAATTTCAGTTGAAACTAGTAACACTCTAACACCACTATTATAGTTGCAAACTTACTTTTCTAAGGCAGGAGGCTTTTTCCCCTATTCCCTCCCTTTCTTTTTTCCTTTTATTTATCTCTGTCCTGCATCATTCTAAAAATTATCTTAGATTCCCTGACAGTTGTCTATATAATTCCCTGGAACTATGGCACAGATGTAGCAGAGATAGCTTACATATGTTCAATCATATGACAATTTTCTTCCCCTGATGCATGCTTGGTCCATTTACCATCCTTGCTTCTTCTAACCCCATCCTAGTCCCAGGGAAAGGACTTAATATCTTAAATTTTCAAAGCCTTGAAAAAACAGATCTGGTGTCAAAATCACAGTAACTTTATTTCCCCATAAAGGAAATCAAAACCTGTGTACCTCCATAATTTGAAACCCTTGGGGAGTCCTAAGGAATGTAAGGATTGGAGTTACAAGATTTTAAAAAAAGAGATAAAGATGAGGGTGAGGTGAGTGAGACCAAAGTGGGTGTGACTATAAAAGGACAACTAGAGGAATCTTTGTGGTGATGGAAATGTACTGTATTTGACTATTTCAGTTTCACTTTCCTGGTTGTGATGATGTACTATCTTTTACAAAATGCTACTACCATCAGGGGAAACTGGGTCATTTTGTATTTTGGAGAGAGCTTAGATATGACCAGAATGATTAAGCTAATTTTAGTAAAATTAGGACTTATTACCAATAAAGTTGACTATACACAGATGAGTGAGAGACACTCCACCCAACATCGTTGATATGTTGGAATGCCATGGAAATTGACAGAAAAATTATCCTGGGCATAAAAGGACTCTGACATGTTGAGATCTGGTCAATGTCTTTTGCAATCAAGGGCCTTATAGTATAAGTTGGTATCAAGTAGTGTGAGTCTTTCTGCTTTGTTGTTCTTCCTCAAGATTTCTTAAAACAGCATGGTACTGGCATAAAACAGACATACAGATCAATGGAACAGAATAGAGAGCCCAGAAATATATCCATGTCTTTATGGCCAATTAATATTCAACAAAGGAAGCAAGAACACATAATAAGATAAAGACAGTCTATTTAATAAATGGTGTTGGCAAAATTGGACAAATCTGTGCAAAAAAAATGAAATTAGGCCACCAACTTACACCATACATAAGAATAAACTCAAATGGATTAAAAACTTAAATGTAAGACTCAAAAACAATAAAAATCTTAGGAAAAAACATAGGCAGTAAAATCTCAAACAAGATACTGCATGCTGACTCCCTGAAAGACACCTCTGGAACAAGTGTTGAAAGTGGTTCATTTAAGGCTACTAGGGGCTGGTTCAGTAAATTTAAAAGAAGCAGCATTCATACTGCCATAAGGCATGGGGAGGCTGCCCATTCTAACAATGTGGCTGCTGATGATTTTGTGATGAGATAGGCCTCTTTTAGAAGAAAATGCCAAAGAGGACCCACTGATGTAGGAGGAGAAGTCATTGATAGGACACAAGCCAATGAAGGACAGCCTGACATTGTTGTGTGGAAATGCAAGTGGGGACTTTATATTGAAGCCTCTACTGGCCTACCATTCTAAAACCCCATAAGTCTTCAAGAAAAATAATGTCATGGGAAACAAATTGAATGTGATGTAGAGGGCTAATAGCAAAACATGGGTAACCAGGCAATTTTTAGTTGAGTGGATTCATGAAGTGTTTGTCCCAAGTGTGAGGAAATACCTCCGGGAATTCCTTCTTGTAATGGATAATGCTCCTGCCCACCCTCCAGGTCTGAAGGCTCAGTTGGTGGAGGTGTACACCTTTGTCATTTAGGTTTTTGCTGCGTAACACAGCTCCTCTCATCCAGTCCATGGAAAAGCAGGTCATTCTAATAAAAAAAAAAACTCTACACAAAGGCACTATTTCAGAGGTGTTTTGAGGTGACCTCTGAAACTAATTTAACCCTCAGGGAGTTTTGGAAGGAACATTTTACTATCCTCATTTGCTTGAGGCTCATAGACAAAGCATGGGGGGCACTGTCTCCCAGGACCATGCAATCAGCCTGGAATACATTATGGCCAGAGTCTGTTGCTGAAAAAGACTTCAAGGGCTTTGAGGATGAGCCCATGTGTGTTGTGGAGAATACTGTGTCTCTGGGCAAGTCCATGGGCTTGCAGGTAGATGAGGATGATGTGGAGGAGTTGGTAGAGGCCCACAACACTGAGATAATCACTGAGGAACACCAAGACCTTCAGAGGGAATAGCAACAGACAGCAGCTGAGGAACTCTTTCCAGAGGAGTGGGAGGGAAGGGAGGATATTCCTACTTCACTAATCAAGAAAATGTTTGGGAAATGGGGAGAAATGCAAAGTTTTATTGCAAAATATCATCCTGACAAAGAAGTGGTAAACCATTTGATTAACTTGTTCAATGACAATTCAGTGTTTCACTTCAGTCAAGTGTTAAAACACAGACAATGTCCTGGCTGGTATGGATCAGTGGATTGAATGCCAGCTTGTGACCCAAAGGGTCACTGGTTCGAATCCCAGTCAGGGCACATGCCTGAATTGCAGGCCACGTCCCCAGTAGAGGGCTTGTGAGAGGCAACCACACGTTGATATTTCTCTCCCTGTCTTTCTCCTTCCCTTCCCCTCTCTAAAAATAAATAAATACAATCTTAAAACAGAAGACACACAAACATAAACAAGCATCATTGGATAGGTTTTAGTGAGATAGAGGCCTAGTGATCCTGAATCAAGTTCCAGTAGACTGAGGAGACAAAAACAAAGAACCCCAGAAAAACAGCGACCTGACATTTTTATGTAAGAGGATTCCCCTTCCAAACTATAACATCCCTCCATTCCTCCTCTCCATATTCAGTCATCAGTAGCTTTCAACATTAAAGGTAAGTTCCAGTGTGTACATAAATATTCATTTTTTACTGTATATTTCATTTCCTTTTTATTAAATTTTATTCACATTTCATGTCCTTTTGTTTTTGAAGTATTTATTTATAAGTTAAATAGTACATTAGACATGTACTGTATATAGGAAAGGTTAAAGAAGGAGTCACTGGGGACCTGAAACAAATTAATTCAATTTACATTATTTCTAGTGGGAAAAAATTATTCAGTTTTTTAGCAAATTGCATCTTGAACAGCCCTCCAGAATGAATTAAGTTTAAGAACTTGAGGTTCTACTGTATGTAGAATCTAATGAACAAAATAAACAAGCAAAATAGAAACAGACTCATAGATACACATAACAAACTGACAGCTGTCAGAGGGGAGGGGAGTTGGGAGGCTTTGTGAAAATGCTGCAGGGATTAAGCAAAAAAAACAAAACAAAACAAAAACAAAAACAAACCAAAACCAAAACCCCAACCCAAAACCTCATAGACACAGACTACAATATGGTGGTTACCAGAGGAGAAAGAGGTAGGGGGAAATTGAAGAGGGTAAAGGTGAGATAAAAGGTCATGGAGGAAGACTTTACTTTGGAGGGTGAGCACAGAATACAATATCAAGATGATGTATTATAAAATTGTACTTGAAACCTATATAATTTTATTAACCAATGTTGCCTCAATAAATTCAATAAAAATTTAAAAAGACTGATGATAATAAGTATTTACAATACTTATTGGAATCCTCAAACATAGTTGATAGCAGTATAAAATGGTGCAATCTCTTTGGTCATCAGTTTGGAAGTTTGTCATAATATTACCATATGACCCAGAATCCACTTGTAGATATCTACCCCAAAATGAATGAAAACAGAGGTTCACATAAAAATATAATGCAGTATTCATAATAGCTCAATGTGGAAGCAATTAAAAGGAAACTGAACTGATAGACTGATAAATAAAATGTGCTATATTGATACAAAGAAATATTATTCAGCAATGCAAAGCTATAATAGGGAAGAAACTAAAAAACCTTATAGTACATGAAAGAAGCCAGTTATGAAAGTCCATATATTATGTGATTCTATCTCTATGAGGTGTCCAGAAGAGCTAATCTATAGAGAAAGTTGATTAATGGTTACTTGAGTGGGGGATGGGCAGGTGGAGAAGGTGAAAAGTGACTTCTAAGGCATATGACATTTACATTTTGGAGTGACAAAAATGTCCCAAATTTATACCAAGGTGATGGTTTCATAGCTCTGTAAATAAATTATATATATTTGAATTTTATACTTTAAATAGGGGAATTTTATGGTATATAAATTATATTTTATTACTAAATATGTTAAAATAGTGACAATACGGTTAATTTTTGAGCAAAAAGATATCTATAATTTCAGAACTTTTACATAATGGAATAATTTATGATGCTTCTTCTAGTTCATCATTCTTTCCTTTGATGGTTCTATCATATATTTTTAAATGTGTCTTTTTTTGTAATTACCTACACAACTTTACATTCTTTTAAAAAATTTTATTTATTTATTTTTAGAGCATAAAGGAGAGAGAAAGGGAGAGAAACATCAAGGTGTGGTTGCCTCCCATGTGCCCCCTACTGGGGACCTGGCCTCCAACCCAGGCATGTGCCCTGACTGTGAATTGAACCAGTCACCCTTTGGTTCACAGGCTGGCACTCAAACCACTGAGCCATACCAGCCAGGGCAACTTTACATTTTTTGTGTGTAGAAACTGTTTATACTAGTTGCCTATTAAATTAATGGTTTTAATTAAAGTTAATTTAATGAAATTTAAAATGTAACTTTGAAATTAATGTCTGATTGAAAATAAAAGTAGATATAAGATGGCTTAATTTGTTAATAATGTCAAAATTAGCCTCTTAAAATGGGATGAAATTCATTTAACCATTAACGAAAGAAACTTTCTATAAATACTATTAAAATGAGATACTTACGAAGGGTCATTAATGACTGTCTTCAATGCATTGAGCAAATCTACACTAGACATTGTGTCGATGTCCAATCTGACAGCTGCTCCCTTGGCCTTCATGCGAATGATGTTATCGGGTTGATCCAGAAACAAAGGGAGGCCCACCACTGGGATCCCGTGGTAGATGGCCTCATAGACGCCGTTGGTTCCACCATGAGTTATAAAGGCTTTGGTTTTTGGATGACCTAAGTATGGGTGAATTCAGCAAGTTATTAATTGTAAGTGTTAGAAATAAAATGAGAGTTGGGCAAGAAGAGCACTGACAGAGGCAGTGCATTCTAGATGATAGATTAATACACACATGAAATGGCACTAAAATGTATTTTAGATCTCAGAGCAAGAAGCTCTTTAGTTGCTGAAGAGGTAAATAGATATTGGTGTGGCATTGTGACTTGAAAAATGAATATTAGATTGCTGCATGGACAAATGGAAAGAGAACATTCTGGATAAAAAAAATTGCATGTGCGAAAAGAAAAAGGAGATGGCATGTTAGAACATATTCTCTAAGAAATAACGAAGTCAGATTGTATTACATGTAGGGTGTCAAGGCAGCAGGAAATGCAACTGGGGTGACTCTGAAACTGAAGAAAGAAAAGAGCACACTTTATCATGAACTGTGTTATAACTTCATGGAAAAGATTATGGATTTTTCTCCACAGAAAATGGAGAGTCACTGATCAGAAAAGAGATGCTTTATTTTTAATGGCAGTGAATGCCCATAAAGAAGGGAAAAGAATAGAAATGAGAAGGGAGAGCTAGGAGAAAGAGTGATGACCCAGGTAGTTATTGAAAAAATCTTCATGAGAAGTAATTATACCTGAAGTAAAGGTATTTGATTCTACATATAAGAAAGGAGGCTATGTATAATAAAATGTTAAATTATGTATCTTACCCTTTACCCCAGGACTGTAAAACAAATATAAGGAAGTTCAGTTTTATTTTTGAAATTTTCAATAATAAATATTTAACAAATTGGTTTCCTTTTGAACTATTATCATTTTGTTTGGAGTTACTATCATTTTTAGTATTTGTTTTCCAGAATCTCACCAAGTAGGTCATTCTGGGGGATCCACTTATACAGCCGAGTATTTGGCCCTAAGGTATCTGGTACCTTGCCATCATATCTCCATATAACCTGTTAGGGTGAAGAAAATATTTTATTCCATGAACTGAAGTAAAGCTATAGCATTTTCAAATTCTAAAGAAATTAAGAGATAATCTAGTTAACTCCTTCATAGACAGATAAGTAATAAAGACAAGAGATATTAAAAATAACTATTATAACACTGGTATAATAGAAATACCTATATTTTATATACTTATTTTTATATTCAAACAAGTGTTAATATAATCATGATATGGAGCACATACAAGTATACAAATGAGATTATCAATGATGAATTGAAGTATTTAATAAATTTTTAGGTCTATTCATTATAATTCTAGTGCAAAAAAGTAGACAATTACTACACATTTATCTATTTATTATAATTGCTGTCCTTATAAAATGTAATCTTAACCTAATTTTTTAAGTGTTACTGAAGGGAGTTTCCTTATATCCACTTATTTCATAAGTTAATTTATTAGAATTTTACATCTTTTGATTTACAAAGGACTAATCTATGTAACCAACTACTTGTAAGGAATTAATAATTCTGCTTTTTAATAATTTGTAGTAATATAGTTTCTGTTTAGTAAGTATATTTAATTTCTTTACTTAGTACTAATTATTAGGTATTATTTCTAAGAAAAATTTAAAGAAGTAATTTTTCCCCCTATGAACCAAAGATTACTTCATCTAGATTCAGATATTTTTTTTAAAGATTTTATTTATTTAGTTTTAGAGAGGGAAGGGAGGGAGAGAGAGAGAGAGAGAGAGAGAGAGAGAGAGAGAGAGAGAGAGAGAGAGAGAGAGAGAGAGAGAGAGAGAGAGAGAAACATCAATATGTGGTTGCTGGGGGCTATGGCCTGCAACCCAGGCATGTACCCTGACTGGGAATCAAACCTGCGACACTTTGGTTTGCAGTCCGCGCTCAATCCACTGAGCTATGCCAGCCAGGGCAAAGATTCAGAGATTTTTTTAAATGTAGAAAAGAAGAGCTTGTTGGTACTTCATAAATAACAGTATAGCTGTTGAAAAAATCCAAAGTTTTGATGATGCTGAAGTTTTTTTCAGTGAACTGTTAACACTTCAATGATACACTACAAAGCATGGACATCACTGACTACTATGGGACCTGTGGCCAAGCACTATTCATACCCAGGACCAAAACAGATTCTGATTTAAAATTTCCCCGCGATTCTCATAAACTGGATATAATTTACACATGCTTAACACTTATTTGCTATGTGAATATTAAAATAGCATCAGATTCTCAGTAAAAAATTAGCATAGGTTCTAAGAAGAAATTACATCAATTAGGAAACTAAAAAGTAGTTCACAAATACCCAAAGACTACATGCTTATTCTATATATCAGAAAATAATTTACTACTCTGTTTTATGGAGAAGAGTGCATCTGAAACTTTTCTGTAATGGGCTTGCTTCTTGTTGATTCCTTATTATATTCCCTACTTCTTCCTCAACCAGGAAGAGTTATTATTCTGGTTGGTTAGAAGCAGAGATTTTTGGGAGTCACATTTTATAAAACACAGGGTCACCTTAAGGGGCGGGCCCATCTCCCTCCTTTCTAATTTATCTTCCTCCAATTTTAAAGGACCTAGTCTACCAGGGCATGCCACTTTTTCTTTCTCTTAATCACTGTGGCTGGCTGAGGTACCTGAACAGAGTGCAGTGAGTCCTGGCTATTCTTTTCCTGGATAGCACCTTGAAATGCACACTGAATAGGCCTATTTCAAAAATGAGGGAAGACTGGCCTGGATACCTGGCAAGCCTAAAGTTCATGCTGTGATCAATTCCTGCTTAACATTACTGTTAGAATTTGACTCCTTTCTGAGAACATCTGCAGTGTGTACAATGCCTTCAGGAACCTTCAATGAAAAGGCAGAGTTTGGTGACTTTGGTACCTACCTCCAATACCATTATAACACCAAACTTAACATTGTACCTCTTAAAAACATTTCATTCTGATCACAATGTTAATGCCAAAGTTACTTTCAAATATACCCTTTGTACTATTATTTTAGCACCTGCCTTGTATATTTTGGTTTGAATTCATAGCTGAGATAAATGAGAGGTATCATAATGGCTTACATGTCACACAGGAAATTTATTTAATTAGACCCTTCACAGAATTGTGCACTATTACTGTACTTAGTCTAACCTTTTGTGGAATCTGGGCAAGGGCTGATGCAATCACATTGGCTCTTTCTTCTGAGATGTTCCTGACAGCTGACCCCAGAGTAAACACGACAATACCGTTTTCTCCAGAGCTTTGGGCAAACTCTTCCATTTCCTGTAAAGAAAATATTTGATCCATCATGAAAGAGCAATGCATAGCAAATGCCATTGAAAGGAATACTTCAAACAACTAAGAGATAAATCAAGTGTTAGTTGGAATTATGAGTACTTCTTTTAAGAAAATTGTGGTAAAATACACATAACATAGTATTTACCATCTTAACATACTACTGACTTGTTCACATTGTAGTATGTATCTTCACATTGTCCTGAAACCAAACTGCAGAACATTTTCATCTTGCAAAACTGGAACTGTACCCATTATGCAATAATAATTCCCCCTTCACCAGTTCCTGGCAACCATGATTATGCTTTCTATTTCCACGAATTAGACCAGTCTAGGTAACTCCTATAAGTGGAGTTATACAGTATTTGTCTTTTTGTCAGTGGTCCATATCACTGAACATGATATCCTCAGGTTTCATCCATGTTGTAGCACGTGTTAGTTTCCTTCAATTTTAAGGCTGAGTAAAATTGCATCGTATGTAAATCCCACATTCTGTTTATTGATTTTTGTGTTATTACACATTTGGGTTGCTTTCACTTTTGACTGCTGTGAATAGTGCTGCTATGAATTTGGGTGGGTGTGCAAATATTTTATTGACATATTGTGATTTTAATACTTTTGGATATATATCAAGAAATGGGAATGCCAAACATATGGTAATCCTAGTTTCATTTTTGAGGAGAAATCTCCATTCTGTTTTCAGTAGTGGCTTTTTTCTTTTTTAAAACAGACTCAATCCTTCCATTCCTGTGGAAGGATGCATGTTATATAAGATCGATTTCCTTTATCATGTGTATTTTTCAAGTGTACATGTGTATAGAACCAAGAAATAAAATAGAACCAGTACATAGTAGTAAGGAGGAAATACTGTTAGACAATATTATGTAAGACTCTTCATTTATAATGTTATTAATTACTAATATGGATTCTTGGAAGGAGGCCACACAGCAGTTCTGAATGCTCCTTTAACTTTTTATCATTTTAGTTCTGTTAAATCAGTTGTGTTTATTTCAGGCAGGTCTCCTGTAGAATCACTTTAGTTTAGTTATTAGTGCCTTATTTCCTTAAAAATTATGATCAAAATCACTATATATCTTTTTCTTTTACATATTTATCAGAATTTCCCAAATACTTCCTCTAAGTCACTTCTTAATGGTTGGAGGTTAAGTATAGTTGATATTCAGGAGTTTGGTATAAATGTTTGGAATTTCCTTGAAATAGTCCTAAAAGTCCCATATATAGTGCAGAATTATATATTTATAGTTACATATTTGATTGATCATATTTCTGGGCTTACTAACATATGATGCCATTTACCCTGAAATCATACAGTAAAATTAATGTCCCATTAGAAACTGTTGTGTGTAACTAGCTCTGAGGGACTCTCACTATCATGATGCCGAGCCCTCCGCAGGGCACATTAACTACTGTGAGAGAGGCACACCAGGGCTGAAACCCTCTTGAGTAGCTCACTTTCACCTCTGTAAGTCTCTGTTAAAGTCAGGTTTTACTGAAATTGTTTGAAAATAATTTTGACTTGTTATCCCTAATTATTGCCAATATTTATAATTTTATTATTTTCAATATTGGTGTAATTCCTCCTTGTTCAATGTACTCTTATAAAAGAGAGAAATGTACATGAGCCAAATATTTCTGGATATTTTGTTAAAACTGCACATTCATATCTTTTCTGCTCCTTTGTGTTTTAAATTTATTGTTTTTTCTCTCTTAAAAATAATGACTAAAACTTTCCAAAATAAAAATATATTTTCCATTTCTAATCATTGTCACAAAGTTTTTTTGAAACTGTGCTTTTACAGATATGAGAAAAAAAGGGTAAAATTTTGAAAACTTTGCCCATGCAGACTATATAATACGTAGGGCATTCTTTAAAATTATACTTTTACTATGATGATGTTAGTTTCGATCTGAAGGTCACTGAGCTTTCCTATGACTCACATGGTGCATCTAGCTAAGCTGCGGGATTCCAATGACTTGTAGCAACATGTAAAGTCACTTTTGTTCAATGCTTTGTCTGATTAACTGACTGCCATTGGCTTTCTTAATTCATGCTGTGGAAAATAGTTCCCTATAGGACTGTAATGATACAACTGGTCTTTTCAGATTAATCACTGACTTAGACTAGTCGTACTCATTCTGTGACAAGTTTTGCAATCACTGACTTAGAGTCAAGTCTTGTTTTGCACAGTAGCTACTAGCGCTAATTATTGTGATAATGCTGCTATCTTCCTATCCTCCTCTTCTTTCTCCAAGTCCCATTGACATTTGTTTTTCCTTAATGTGAAGGGTAAAAGCTTTCAAGAATAAGTTAGATTGGTTCCAGTCCAAGGTAACACAGGAGCCTCCTGAACTCACCTCCTCCCATGTAAACACCAAAATTGCAGCTACACAGAGAGCAGCTCCCTTTGAGAGAATTCCAGAAGCTAAAAGAATGACTCTTACACATTGGGAAAACATGAAACTACATTACTCTTAGTACATACATCTCTTTAAAGCCAGGGGAAGCCAGCAGGCACCACCAATGGCCTCTCCCTTGAGCTCACCTCTAATTACAAATATCCCCCTCAAAGGTACTTGTATACACATCTGGCAGGCCACTTTTGCCCCTGCCATTGAGGGGATAGATATCTAAATGAACAGCTTTTGGTAGCCAATGAGGCTTTTATTCATGAGTCCCACAGGACTGCAGCAAACAAAGAACAAGTTATTAATTGTGCAGTAGCTCCCTCCAAGGCTATAGCAGTGCAGAAGGAGCAGGCAAAACAACTCCTAGTTTCTCCCTGGAAGTAACCTAACTACACACTTTCCTGGTTGCTGCCTGAGGGTCCAGTTTCTAATCAGCCTACATCTAGGTGATGATGGTAGTTACCCTCTTTGGGATACTGAGAGGCCTTGGCACACCTTTAGTGACTGGGAGACACTAAGAGTAAAGAAGGTAGATAGGGCAACCACAAAGGTTTGAGACACAGCCAAGAGTTCTGGCTGGGCTGTTGGATAAAGTTCATTTCCCACATGAGACCATTTTGTCAAGACTGGGAGAGGTGGCTCTTTTATCTTATTATGTGCAGGAATAAACGCTCAGAAAGTCAAGAAAAATGGAGAAACAAAGGCAAATGTTATGTTCCAAACTGAAGAGCTAGAGAAACCTTCAGAAACATAACCTTAATGAAATGGGGATAATTGACTTACCTGATAAAGAGTTCAAAATAATGGTCATAAAGATGCTAATCAAAATCAGGAAAATAATGCATGAACTAAGTGGGAATTTCACAGAGCTAGAAAGTATCAAATAGAAATCACAGAGCTGAAGAATGTGTTAAATGCACCGAAAAATTCAATAGAGGGGTTCAAAATTAAATAGATCAGTAGAAAAGAATAAGCAAACTTAAAGAAAGGGCACTGCAGTTCATCCAATCATGTGAACCAGAGGGAAAAAATGATGAAAAGTGAAGGTAGCTTAAGGGACTTATGGAATACTGTCAACTGCAACAATATATATGTAGTAGATAGTTCCCAGAAAAAGGAGAGAGGAAGATAAGTTATTCAAAGAAATGATATCTGAAAACTTTCCTAGCTTGGGAAAAGAAACAGGAATTTATTTCTAGACAGCCCATAGAGTTCCAAATAAGAGGAATCCAAAGAGACTCACATCAAGACACACTATAATTGTCAAAAGTTAAAGACAAGGAGAGAATCTTAAAGACAGGCCAGGTCCTTAGGAAGGGGTGCGGGAGAGGCAACCACGCACTGATGTTTCTCTCTCTCTCTTTCTCCTTCCCTGCCCCCTCTCTAAAAATAAAGAAGTAAAATCTTTAAAAAGCTAATAGTGGTCACAACAGACAAAGTCAAATGTAATGATAAAAGGGTCAATCCAACAAGAAAGATTGCATTTGTAAATATTTACACACCCAACTTAGGGAGCAGCTAAGTGAAAAGTAAATATTAACAAACCTGAAGAGAGATAGACAGCAATACAATCTCAATACCTCACTTTCAAGAAGGGGTAGATCATCCAAACAAAAGATCAGTATGGAAACATTGAAATTATACCACATTTTAGTGAACGAGGACTTAACAGATATTTATAGAATATTTTATCCAATGATAGCAGAATAAACATTCTCCTCAAGCACACATGAAACATTCTCCAGGATAGGTCATTAATTAGTTACAAAACAAGTCTTAACCAATTTAAGAAGATTGAAATAGTCCCAAGTATCTTTTCTAATCACAATGATGTGAGACTAGAAATCAATTACAGTGAGAAAACTGGAAAATTCCCCAAATATATGTGGATCAAACATACTGCTAAACAACCGATACGTCAAAAAAGAAATCAAAGGGAAATAAAAATATCCTGAGTCAAATAAAAATGCAAATACAACATACCAACATGTGCAGGATGCAGAAAAAGTAGTTCAAAGAGAAAGGTTAACAGGGTAAATGCATACAATAAGAAAAAAAGATAGCTATATTGACCACCTACCTTCACACTTCAAGAAACTACAAAAAGAAGAGTAAACTAAGCCAAAGTTAGTAGGAGGAAGGAAATGACAAAGACTAGAGCAGAAATGAATGAAATTGAAACTAAAATAGAAGGATTTATGACTCTAACAGCTGTTTTTTTTTAAATGAACAAAACAAAACTTAAACTTAACAAGAAATAGATAGGACTCAAAAAAAATTAGAAAGGCAAGCAGAGATATTTCAACTAATACCACAGAAATAGAAAGAGTAGGAGCCATAAGAGGCTACTATTATCAATTATACACCAACAAACTTGGCAAACTAGAATAAATGAAAAACTTTAAAAAATTATTTATTTATTTATTTTTAGAGAGAGGGGAGGGGAAGGAGAAAGAGAAGGAGAGAGAGATCAATGTATATTTGCCTCTCACATGCCCCCTACTGGGGGCCTGGCCTGAAAGCTAGGCATGTGCACTAACTGGGAATCCAGCTGGCACCCC